TTGCTTCTGATCTCATTCGTGGAGTTCTGATCATTTTGGTCCCTCTCTAGAACATCTTTCAGGCGCATGCATTCGGTTAGCTTTGTCATCATGAAATTCTGTAGTTGTTTTTTGTCATTGAAGTATTTCATTTCTACATCAAACTTGAAAGAGAATTTTGAAAGGTATGGTAGTCTGTTCTGGAATTTGTTTTCATAGAAGACCTGAAGTACTCTGCTCCATGCTCTTCTTGCCTTCGTGGTTTGTGAAGAGAAGTCGGCCGTAATTCTGAAGGGTTTTCCTTTGAATGTGATCTGCTTCTTTTCTCCTGTAGCTTTCAGTATGTTATTCTTGAGCTGAATTTCTGGAATCTTGACTATTATATGTCTTGGTGTGTTTTTAATTGGGTTGAGGTTCCTTGGCGTTCTGTATGCTTCAGTTACCTGAATGCCAGATTATTTCCTCATATTTGGTAAGTTTTCTGCTATTACTTCTGTCCATAATTTTTTGTCTTTTGTGTTGACTCCTTCTTTCTCGTTGTTGCCTATTAGTCTCACCTTGTTCATCTTTATCTTGCAGGTGATGGATTATTTTTTCCTGCATCCTCGTTGTTTTTAAGAGATCCTTTCTTACCTTTTCGCTAGCTGCACCAGCGTTCTCAAGATCTGAAACTCTGTCTTCATTTTCACTTAAATGATTTTGCAAGCTTGTCACTGAGTTTTATATTCCTATATATCTCTTTTTCTTTGCTTCCTGTGATCTATTTCTTTCCTCTATTGCTCATTCAAGGAATCCGTCATTTTTTAAATCTCTTCTATTTTTTACCAGCGTCTTCTTTAGAAGCAGTCAGTAATTCTTTTACTGCAGTGTTTTCTTCAGATTGGGTATCCTCCCTTTTTTTCTGTAGTTGATTCTTTACTTCTGATGCTGTGAGTTCAGAGAATTCTCTTTTTATTTCAGAAAATAATTCTGCTCTGATTTTCTCTATATCTTTCTGCTGTTGCTTATTTACTATCGATGCTATTAATTCATACATTTGAGCTGAGGTAGTGTCCTCTGCTATTGTTTTGGGTGGACATTGGGTTTCTTGCATGTTTCTGTATTTGATTCTTTATTGCAGGTGCTATTAGTTCAGGGATTTATTTTTTCATTTCCATTTTGAGTTGCTCTATATCTTTCTGCAGTTGTTTCTTTATTTCAGAAGCCATTGATTCATTGATTTCTGTTGTCTGGTTCCCAATTTGTTCTGTGTTAGTGTCCTCTGCACTTGTTATGGATGGGCTTGGGGTCTGAGATTGCATTTTGCTCCTTCTCATTGTCATTTTGTGTAGCACTGTCTTCTGACCTTTGTTGTAGAGCTTTGGTGCCATTATAACCTTAGCACCTACTGAAATTCAGGTGCAGATCTATAAAGTTTGGATTTATCCAGCTGTGCCTGGCTTGAGTCTAGCTGCTGTGCTCAGCTTCTTCCTGGTTCTGCCTTTGGGGCTCATCCTGTTGTGCCCCTCTGGCAAGATGTTCTGCTCCTGCACTAGCTGTGTAGCTTTGTCCTCTACTCTCTCTGCAGGGATTGCAGCTCATTGGTTTCACCCCAGGCCTGTACTCCAGGCCTGAGCTAAGTCCGGAGGGGATAAGGTGGAGTAGGGGGGAGAGGAAATTCTCCCACACACTCACTGGGCGAGTGTCAGGAATGATCTGGGAGTCCCCAGAATGCAGCAGAATTTCTCACTGGGTGGGCAGTGTGGGAGGGTCCTGAGGAGTGGTGGTGGGGTTCCAAGGGGTGGAAGAGGGTCTCACCCATGCTGTGCCTGGGCTGGGACCTGCAGGTCCTGCCATCGCAGGCTTGCCAGAATCTTTCCCCCACACTCACCAGGCCTCAACTAGGACTGGATCTGGATTTCCCCAGAACGCAGCAGAAATTCTCACTTGGCAGGAAGGTTGAGGGGGGGATGCTGCGTAGTGGTGGTGGGGTCCCAAGAGGATGGAAGAGGGTCTCACCCATGCTGTACCTGGGCTTGTACCTGCAGGTCCTGCAGGCACAGGGTAGCAGGAAGCTCTCCAACACACTCAGCGGGTCCTGGGCTAAGACTGGGTCTGGGGGTCCCTAGAACTTGGCCGAAATTCTTACTGGGTAGGCGGGGCAGGCGGGTGCTACCGAGTTGTGGGGTGTCCCACGGGAATGGAAGATGATATCACCCATGCTACGCCTGGGCCTTGTGCACTATATTAAACAGAGTACTTAGAAATCAGTATTTTTATAAAAAATCATTACACTTTTATATTCTTACCTATTGTTTTTTCTCTTTTCAGTATGACTTTCAAGAGGCAAGTAGTGTATGTGTCATAATTTAGGACAGTGTTTTTATATAGTGTTTTTAGTGAAGATTGAGTAGATGAATAGATGGGAGAGTGGTTTCTTATGGAAGAATGGTAGTCAATTTGGATACTGAAAAAAGATTATGTTTCCAAGGTTGACAGAGAAAAAAATCTTCCTTTAGCTGGTGAGAGTGGTATAAATAAATTAGAATTAAATGTTATAATAAAAGATTATAATAATTTAATCTGAATAGTGCATCATTTACTGATTAGTAAGTGTATACAGAGCAAGTATAGTCAGGTCCTCGCCCTGTTTTATGTTAATCCTTCTAAGTTAAAACACAGTACTCTTTTTTCTGGAACTCAAAGTATGGCTATCTTACCTACTTGTTAGAAGCACTGCATATTGGTTGGATATTGATTAAAGAGGAAACCATTTTTTCATCAATCAGAGAAATGTTTCCTATATGACTAGTTTCTATTTTTGTTAGACTATTTTTCGTATGTTTCATTGCTGTACTATAACATCTGTTTACACTGTAATTTTACCTCTTGCTTTATATTTCATTACTGAAATATGGCAATTCTTAGACTTTTCTTTGTAACTCCTATAATGAATATGTAATATTAAAATTTTCTCTTCACATATTTCAACCTGTATATTTGTGTGTCTATGGGATTGATGTTTACTGTCCCTGTAATTCAGAAAGTATTATCATAAACCTTTAAATGAGCTTTTTCTTCCTGCTGAAGATTGGATTGAAGATTGATCCTTTATTGCCTAGAAACATGACTATCAAGTTATTTCCTGTGTAATATTATTAAATATCTCTTTGTGAAAACAGTTCTAGGCTTTATGTTTTAATCATAATTGGTCAGTATCATAATAGTTACACATTTATTAAATTGTCAATGAACTGTAATCCCTTATGTAATGGCAGTATGTTTGTTTGTTTGTTGATTGAAGTGGTATATAGGATCCTTTCAGCAGGATTCTTTGAGATGAAATTTTGTCTAGAGTGGTAAGCTACTGAAAATTTTGGTGAACCAGACAGTGAAAATAAATTATACATATAGGATATTCACTTTTTCAATAAAAAATTACAAGGTAGAATCTTGTTAGAAATTTATCATTCATGGTTTCCTTTTTTCCTTCTTATTAGTCTGTCTGCCTAGAACATTACTTTGTTTGGCTATTTGAAAAATTTAGTAGCTTCTTTTCTATATAAATTTCTAACATATTTATGATTAGTAAAATGCTCTGTTAAATCTATGAATTTATCCTCATTTTCTTTATATCTGTGGCTATAAGGCACAATTAAGACAATCTAGAGCCATTGATGTGAATAGAAGACTTAGGTAAACTCCACATCATATGAAAGTGTAAGTTACAGTTGCTCTATGAAAAAAACCCAAGAGCTAGTCAGAAAGCCCATTTTGAATATACAATCAGAAAAATAAAACTAAAGGAAGATATAGGGATCTCTGAGTTTAGGTTTGCTTTCTTATTTATTACTACATTAATTCCAAGTATCTGAAGGAGTAGTCTGTCATTTCATACAGACAATTACATACCACTTCTTTGTGAACTCTAAAATTTGTGTTTCACTTATATCTAATTTCTATTTAAGTGAATCCTATCTGAACAAACAGAGTCTGATGGAAAGAGCAGGCAAACAGATACAGATTTTAAACCTAGTTTTTAGTTGTTCGTCCTAAGCAAGTGGAAAACAAACAAAAATTCAACCTCAATTTCCTCTTTGTAAATATACATACATAGCTATTCTATCTTCAAAATTAGAAACATTATTGGTCTCATGTAAGTGAGTAGACTGTTGGTTACCATAGGCCAGGGATAAAAAGAGTGAAGTTATGAAAATGGGAAAAAGTTGATTAATGGATACTAAGTTACAGTTAGGAACAAGATGCTTTTGGGCACTGTTACATAGTATAGTACTGTAAATAACAATAATGTACTATACTTAGCAAGAAACTAGAGAAAATTTTGAAATGGTGAGTTTTTGAGAAGATAAATATTTTAATCTGATTTGAACATGCAATGTGTGCATATATTGATATGTAAATTTAATGTGTGCATATGGTGTGTACAATTTTCATTTATCCATTTTGTGTTATGAATGCATTTCTAGGATAGAGCCTGTTATATATAGGCAAGTGCTCTGCCCTGAGATATATCCTCAGATCAAAATTTATGCTTTCATGTATTAGTTAAATTTAAAAAAACCTCAGACATAGAGTGATTTTTATCATTGTTTTAATAATATACTATTGATATTTATCTTATACACTAATAACTAAATGCTATTTAAGCATATAGTAATTGTAATTTTATTTTACATACCTATAACTACATATTAAGTGTAAAGAAAATTGTGAACAGACATGAAACTTAGATATTTTAATTATAATTTTCTTTCTTTCAGAATTACTTACTGTCATCTACCTTTCCAGAGTAAATGGCTTTATGTTGGAACAGAAAGAGGAAATACACATATTGTAAATATTGAATCTTTCATTCTTTCTGGATACGTTATCATGTGGAACAAAGCAATAGAACTGTAAGTTTGAACTTGAATATCACTTTATTTGACTTAAATATTTTGTGTAGTTATATAACATAGACAGTGTACCAAATTATAGTTATTTTATACAATTTACTTGTTCTATACAATTATAATTTATAATTGATTTTAATGAGAAATTGAAGTTAAACTATGAATGCTTTTAAAAGCAGATATGGTGGTAGCATGTATGCTAATATTAGATTTTTCAGATACTATAAATCATTCAGGATTTTATTCACAAATTTTAATAATAAAATAAGATTATTCTATAATTTATACATGGAAATCATCTCACTGTTATAATTAACCTTCTTATAACTACTTTCAGGGAGAATGTATTATTTTATGTAAAAATAATCACAATCAGAGCACATTTTTAAATCCCCATAGCTTTTTTCCCCTTAGCTTTAAAATAATGTTTGGATTCAAAGGAAAAAGAATATGGAACATATCAGTTTCTCTCATATTATGTACGTATTCAGTATTTTTGGTTTTTAGTTAATATCAATTGCTATTTTGACTTTGATACTTTTTTCTACATATGTAAATTGTGAAAATTTTTAAATGTAAATTTTCAGGAAATCATGAGCTATCTATCTACTCTAGTGTACACATAAGCAGTTCTCTTAATGTGTTAATCATAAAGACAATTCATATTAATAAATGTTTATGCTGTGTATATAATATATCTTTAATAAGATATGTTTGACTTAAGGCTGGCTCATATTTTCTCTCATGGAACTATTCCAAGTTCCAAATAGTTCTCAAATATTCTGAAGAAAATTTTCTATTTTCATGAGGCTTCACTCTAGTCTTTATAATAAATCTCTAGTACATTCTTTAATCTCAGTTTTTCAGCATATACATACATTGCTTGATCGTTATTATACTCTTGCTACAATAGTCTTTTTTATTAAGTCCTAAAGGGACTTTTATTAAGTCCGTTATTAGTGAAAAATTTTCCTCTCTCATTATATTAAAAATTGCTGTAGGCAGAATTTTTTTCTTTTATTTTTTTTTCTCACAGTGGCTACTAAATGATTGATGACATTGTTGAGGCATTATTTTGGTAGTTATAAATATAGGCTTACAACTTTCATTTTTATTTTTGTCAAGATAATGGATATGAACTATTTGTAATGTTCTTCTATGTTCTGTGTAGGTACTTTTAAAAACATTCTATAGACCTTTTTTTTCTGCCTTCAATTTTTTTCACTTTTTTTTCCTACTTGGAAGAACCTTTCTCCCTATAGTTTTAGCCCTGAAAGAACAATGAGTAGTACTGAATACAATTCTTCTTGTGTAAGAAATATTGTTTTAGGATGTTGATAAAGAATACTGACTTAGATAACCTTGATAGAAGATTGAATTATAGAACTTCTAAACAAATTTAGAATTTATACAAATGTATAGATGTATTATTTTTGTTTGCTTGAATGCTGCTAAAGTAATTAAGAATATCTTTGGGAAGGATCCATCTGCCTACTTCCTATATCTTTTACTTTGCTCATTATACTTTGGAAGGAGAGAAGAGAAGGGTAGGAGCAGAAATGAAAAAAGGTATTAAGTTGTATTATGTGCATGTGCTAAATCCACATAGATAGTGTAAACATTTAAGTGTTGCAAACCTATACTCCCGCCCCCCCAAAAACCCACTCCAAACAAAACAAAGGAAGGGGATCAAGAAGTGGATGAAGGCAATGGGGCTGCAGGAGGAACAGGATACAAAGAAGGAATTAAAATGTCTCATGTAGATATACCAATTCTCTATAGGAACATAAATATTATGTACCACAAACATACTAAAAATTTAAAAGGGAGTGTATTTTAAACAAATGAAGTATTTAATTATTATTACAGTGTGTTTCTATTTTCATGTATATCTTTTTCATAGGTAAAAGTATTATATGCATCAGCTACATGAATTACTTACACAGCCTATACTATGAATACACAGCCAATGAAAAGTTTAAAATGAAGAAGGGTGCATTTATGAAGAAGAGTGCAGGGCCAGGGAGATAGCTCAGTTGCATAAGTGCTTGTCTAGCAAATGCAAGGGCCTGAGTTCAATCCCCCGTTCTGCCAAAAAAAAAAAAAAAAAAAAAAAGTGAAATTAGGAGAAACTGTTTAAGGTGTAGCATTACTTTATACATACGATCCAGTATTAGAAGCTTTTCCATCATTTTGTTTATAAATTCTGTATTTTATAAAAGTTGTTCAAACCTCTGGAAATGCCTTTGGAGTATCTTTAAGAAATTATTAATAGGAAATATTCTATCACTCCTGAAGATTGTAATCACGTGATATAATATAAATGGTCTTATATGTCAATTTAAGGAATTTCAACTTTAAGGCCAATAAGCTAGATTTTAAATGGTTTTAGACAAATTTTGTTTGATTAAATTTAATTTTTAAGAAGAATATTCTGATTTGGGACTAGAGAAATGATTGGGGAGAGGAAAAATTATCCTCTGGGTAAAAACTATGATGCTCTTATGGGGTAGAGTTAAGCTATTTCATTTATTTAAAAAAAAAAAAAAGAGGATCAAGGAGGCACAAATAATAAGAGAAAGTTCAAGAATGGCCTCCAGAAATTTGTCTTGATGAACAGTGCCCTTTAGTAAAAGAGAGCCAAAGATTGAATAGTTTTGGAGTAAAGAAATGTTGAGTTTTAGGTATGTTGCAGATCATTTCATTCAAATGATAATTGAACATGGGATTAGTAGTATCTTGGTTACTTTCCTCTCCTTGCTGGCACAAAACACCCAACACTTAGAATTAATGAAGGGAAGATTTATTTAGTTCACATTTTGTGGAAGTTTCAGTACAGACTTGGTTGACTGTAAAGCGGAGTAGCACATGGCAGAAGGCAAGCAGCTCATGGCAGCAGAAAACAGCAAAGGGTAGGAATAGCAGCAACAATGGCAACAGAGAGCAAGTCTGTCTCCCTTATGTAGCATTCAGGCTATCCACCCTAGGCCATGTGATGCACTCATCCATAATCATAGTAGTACTCACACAATTAATCCCAGCACTGGATCATAAATTAATCACAAACTGTAGAAGTCTACCCCTTAACTGTTTTAGGCTTTGTGGGGACAACTATACACAAATCATAATGAGTAGAAATAAACATTTGGATTCCTGATTTCAGTGAAAGAATTCATGATGAAATTATACAGCTCTAGCAATTTTGCATGGCAGAAATCAAATGTATCTAAGTATCTATTTTGTAGTGGACAATGTTCTATCTAATTTTTCACAGTTCTTCCTCAGCCTTATTAACTCAGTGATTCCTGTGGGCTTCTAAATTCATGACCATATGTTACATAGAAATAGATGGCACTTTAGGATAGAATACTAAACAGTATATTTAACATAGGAAAATATCAAAAGGCTGACAAACGAATTTAAGATTCAAATATTCTTTATTATTTTGGGCACAATTGTTCATAGTTTTCTTATGTGCTTAAGAAACTTTTATGGTGAATTGGAGGAAAGAAATTAATTGGGATATTCAGAAGAATTACTGAGCATTGCTTAGTTGCTTTTATAAGAATTTAACTTCATTGATTATTTTTTCTGTATTTTAGGGAAGGGTCTACAGGATGTTCAGAGTCTCACTACTAGATCAGATTTGTAGTGATTCTCCTGTTTACAGCCTTCCAAGTGCTGGGATTGATAGGCACCACTATACCCAGTCCCAATCACCCTCTCAGCACACCCCAAGGGCAGGACCGGCATGACAGGCCTAGGGATCGAACTCCTGGCCCCTGTGCATGCTTGCAGGAGCTTTAATCCACTGAGTTATTTGGCCATCCCTCATTGATTATTCTATATAAATAATTTTTTGAATTTTTCATATTTCAGAGTAATATTTTTGGATATTCTAAAAATTAATTACAAATAGCAGATATTTGATTTTGAATGTAACTGCATTATTTTTCTAAGCTACTACTAAGTTTTATAGTCTTCTACATGGAAGAGTCTTGCATATAGTTTTACTTCCTGAAATATAGTTCAGTGATTCCCTTATGATATATGAAAAAATATTTTAGCAGACCAACAAGCTTGGAAACCATTCAAAATCTGTGATACCTATTTGCATAGTATTGGTTCTAAGAAGTTTTTAGGGAAAAAATATTTAACTTTATTTAATTCTGAGTTTCCAAAACTTTAAGAAAATAAGTTACTCTTTGAAATGTCTTATATCTCCGTTAGTTTAAAATACTTTATACTTTCCTAGAAGCAGTTCAGTTAACTGTAGGAAACAGAGGGGTTTTTGCTTATTTACACTTGTTAGCTTCTAAAGGGTAACTTAAACATTATCCTTTATTGTAAGTATTTATATCTTTATGGAAATTACATTTATATATAAATGGTATGTTGTATATTAATGTAGAAAGAACTACAAAATACTCTTAAGAAATCTGATTGTTTTTTTCTTCCAGTATATATTCTAGAATGCAAAATAATAACTGGTTTCCAATTCTCAGAACAATCACAAAACATACTATTAATAAGTACATCAATGTTTTGCTGTTATATTAGGTATTACACGGATATAATTTCTAATCCTCACAATTATTCAGTAAGATCAGGCTTACTGAATGAAGGCTAATATTCCATTTTTAGATAAGACTTAGAATACATCCATTAACTATCAAATCCTAATCTTTATTTATTGAGGTAACTCTCAGAAGTCTGAATCAGAGGAGCCTAAAATTAAATTTTCATTTTATCTAATTCTAAGTAGCTTTTAACGATTCAAATATTCTTTATTGTTTTGCACTGAATCTTTCATGGTTTTCATGTGTGTTTAAGAAATAAATTAAAACTATGTAATGTGTGCTGAAGAAATAAATTAGTCAGATATGGTGATACATGCCTATTACCCTAGCACTTGAGTGGCTGTTTTGGGCCAGCTTGGTTTATATAAGTGAGTTTAAGGCCAGGCAGTTCATAGCAGGAAAAAAAAAGTAAGAAAAGTAAATGTAAAAGTTTAAAAAATGAGCAAAATCTAGGTGAATTTTGAATGGATTTGTTTTTAAATCAAAGGTGTCACTGTACTTTCATTTAGGAATAAAATCAGAGGTATCATGTCAAAGACAAATTTAAATCAGGCATATACTTTAAAATTTGGTTGAAACAAATTCACTGCATCAATTTTGTGGCTGTAATGTATATAAATAAATTTGAAAGTTTCAGAGGTTCATCTACATAATGATAAATCTGATATTTTTAAAAACTGTGCTCTTAAGCCTGATTTTTAAAAAAAAAAACTTGTAATTTCTTTAAAGTTAATGGAAGGATCGAAAGTAGTTAGTTCCTAAAGAAGTTCCTAAAGACTAAAACTCCACATGAATTTGAGCTGAACTCCTTAATTTCTTTACTTCAGTCTCTAATATCAGGGTAATGTAATGTAATGTTTTATTTTTAATTACTTATTTGAATTGATTCAACAGGTCCACCAAAACTCATCCAGGTCCAGTTGTACATTTAAGTGATAGCCCACGAGATGAAGGAAAAGTAAGTATTGTAAAATGACTATAATTGCTTTTATTTTACTCATCCTTGAAAAGTTATTTCTGCTTCCTCCTTCGACTTTTTCTCCTTCTTCTTATTATTACTAGTAGCATTACTATTATTGTTGTTGTTGTTGTTATATACTAAACATCTGGCTTAGTTTAAAGCAGTTCTTTATGAAAATTAAAATTGGAGTGTTTGAGCTAAAAAAAATTAAAGCATGAGTTATTCATACTCATAATAGTACCTAACCAAATCTTTAGTATCACTTGGAGCTACATTTGATATTTAAATTGAAATTAAAGGAAGCTAATATGTAGAGCAATTTTTATTTTTATTATCTATTTTATACTTGAATTTTATAATGTGTCAGTATCATTAATCATTTGTCTTTGTTATTTGGTTTTGACAGTGATAAGTAGACAATATTAAAGTAAATTAGCCAATCTTCATATAAATATATATTA